AGTGCATCATCAGTCTAGGAAGGAATGTTGAAAAAGATTTAGTTGCTATTTTTATGTTTTAGTTTCTTAATATTAGATTACTGATACGATCTTATGCAGATCATAGATATGATCTTATGTCAGATTCTTTGTTTTGGTATGATATTCTAGTTTTCGTCAGAATTTTATTTTTATCTTTGGTTAAACATTGTACTGGCGATAAATATAGTCATTCTTCACTTAATAAATTACTAAGTTTCCTTCCTTCTGCAAACTTATCTTCATTAAATTTATCACTGCTATCCTAAGCAATTTAACTAGGTGTGTATTTACTGTTCTACACACGGTCACCACATGTGAGTATGGACCCACCAGTCGGTTCGCACGCCTCTTGGGCCTCTTTCTTGTCGGGTGAGCATTCCTTAGGTGTTGTTAATGTCGGACACCCGTTAGGAATAGCAACCATTGTATCATTATAATAAATATAATGATTGTTTCCTTGCCTCGTAGTGTACGCGTCTGTACCATCATAAAAGAAGAAGGGGTATCCATGGCTTTATATTATATCTGTGGCTTTCATTACATGTATAACAACTCCTCTAACATTTTTCTTTATATTATATCATTTTATCATAATTTCTCATGCATTTATCGAAGTTATGCATTATCATGTCTTCAAACATATCATAAACTATCATGTCTTCTAACATATCATATCATATTATGTACATATTATATCACATCATATATCATAACATTCAAAATTCACATCACGAGCATGTCGTCAAGAATATAATATCTTAACACATCATATTGTAAACATATCATTTGATCACATATAACATAACATTCACATATCATATCGTACACATCATTTCATTATCATCCAAATATATGAGTATACGACACATGCGAAGCCACGACCACATGTCATCATAAAACATACAATTTATAACCAAATCAATAGAAGTGTCACCTACTTGGTTGGCCTTAACCGACATTTCCCTAATATTCAAGTACGTTTGCTTTTCGTCCCTTGAAATTTCTCCAAGTATTGTCGGTTGTCATTTTCTATTATAATGTTATCTTGTTTCGTTAGTAACTAAAATTCCTTAACTCAATTTAACTTGAATCGTGAAATTGAACCTCATATTTACCTTAATTTTCTTAAACAAGATCAATTTTATCTTGAAAATGGTCGGAACGATGAAAATTGAGCAAAATTTCCTCTATCGAGCTGAGGGACTGATTTCTTAGTTGCAGAGCCAAGTAAAAGCCAAGCGAGCTAACTGAGCCGCGTAAACGGGAGTTTCTTGCTACAAGCGCCACATGTGGCACAATGAGGCGTTGATTACGGGTTGCTTGCTACAGGCGTGTTGGTTACAAGTTGCAGATTTGGGCTGGCTTGCAGGTTGCAGATTTTGGTTATTTTGTGTAGTGGATCTTGGCTTGCAGGTTGGTCGCGGTTGTAGATCTATTCACTTAGCCACAAGGTAAGTGTATGACACTAACACCTCCATACATAGAGAACTATGTGATTATTTTGAGGTAAGGTAAGTGTATGACACTTACACCTTAATATGCATTATTGAGTTTGACCAAATGAAAAGGTAAGTGTATATATAAAATTATGTGATTATTTTATTGTGATCTATGCTATTTTAATAGTTAAGAGACACTAACACCTCCATAAAGAGAGAGAGGAGGCTTAGTGTAAGCAGGGAGAGCAGTCTAATGCTTATTGAACTCCTTGAGGACATCTTCAAATAATGATAGTTGGGACATTATAGGATTAAACACATAGTACTCCACCTTTGCAATATATGACCAAGGAATACCATCTTCATTTATAGCTTCTATCACAATAATAAAAATTCTTATTCTACCTCCATTAATCGTATAAGACAGGCCATTCACCACACGCAAGTAAATGAGACGTTCACCATTCTTGTTATACACTTTGTGAATGTTTGCTGAATCACCACACCTAAATGGGGGTGAGAGTTCTCTTATTTATAATCATTTTCAGGATACAGGAATATGGTAAATTACAAATATTATGGAAATAGTAATAAAAGGAAAGAATAATAAATGAATGCAATATATTTGCCTTTAATAAGAGGGCAAATATGGTAACCCGTAATGTAAGGCAAATATCTAGATATTTGCCTTATAGTGAACGGTCAACTATCCTTAACACCCCCCCGCAAGCTGAGCGTCGGATTTGAACGAACGTAAAGCTTGGATCTGAAAAATTCAAAGAGCGGTCGAGAAATACTCTTTGTGTAGATGTCAGCAACTTGGAGATGAGAGGGTACATATTGTGTGCGAAGTTTGCCAGCGATAACAAGTTCTCGAAGGAAATGATAATCTAGTTCAACATGTTTGGCCCGCTTGTGAGAAACGGGATTAGAGCTCAAAAAAATAGCACTTTTGTTGTCACATAAGAGTAAGGGCTGCTTTGAAATAGGGACCTTGAGGTCATGCAAAAGATGCGTAACCCAAAGAAGTTCAGCAGCGATTGTGGCAAGAGCACGATACTTAGATTCACAGCTGGAGCGTGAGACAGTAGGTTGCTTTTTGGCACTCCAAGAAATCAGATTGTTACCAAGATAAATAGAATAGCCGGATGTAGAACGACGAGTATCGGGACAACCAGCCCAGTCAGCATCCGAATAAGCGACTAGCGTACTAGGAACAGTGGATGGACGAAAGGTAAGACCAAAGTGGAGTGTTCCTTTGACATAGCGAAGAATACGTTTGACAGCAAGAAAGTGATCTGCAGTAGGGGCATGCAAGAATTGACTGACAGAATTGACAGCATAGGCAATATCTGGACGTGTAATAGTCAAGTACTGAAGGGTGCCAACAAGAGATCTGCAGAGAGTAGGATCAGAGAAAGGAGAACCATCAACAGTTAGGTGTTGAGAAACAACCATGGAAGTGTGAACTGGTTTGCTATCGAGCAACTGAGCACGAGTGAGAATATCTCGAGCATATTTTAACTGACTAATAAAGAGACCATCAGGAGTGGGTGAAGCTTCAAGACCAAGAAAGTAACTGAGAGAACCCAAATCTTTGGTAGCAAACTCAGAATGAAGCTTGCGAGTAAAGCTGTCAATAAGAGATGAGTTGTTGCCGGTAACAATAATGTCATCAACATAAAGAAGCAAATAGATAATGTTAGATTGCTGATGAAAGACAAAAAGGGACGTGTCAGCGCGACTGCAAGAAAACCCAAGTGTGAGAAGAAATGAGCTAAAACGCTGAAACCAAGCACGAGGAGCTTGCTTTAAACCATAGAGGGCTTTCTTTAATGGACAAACATGAGTGGGAAATCGAGGATCAATATACCCAGGAGGTTGTTCCATATGAACACGTTCAATAAGAGTTCCATTGAGAAAAGCATTCTTGACATCAAGTTGTCGAAGAGGCCATTTATTTGTGACTACAATAGAAAGCACAACACGGACAGTGATAGCTTTGACAACCGGACTGAAAGTGTCAGTGTAGTCAAGACCAGGAACCTGAGTATAACCTTTGGCAACAAGATGAGCCTTGAAACGCTCGACAGATCCATCAGGCAAATATTTAATACGAAACGCCCATTTAGAGCCCACGATGTTGGTGTTGGCAGGGCGAGGAACCAAAGTCCAAGTATCATTTTGTTGTAATGCTCGAATTTCTTCATCCATGGCAGCCACCCAAGCAGGATTCTTAGCCGCAGATTTGAATCCTTTTGGCTCAGTGGATGCAAGAAGAGCATAAAGAAGTCCAGATGAGCCCAAAATACCAAGATTTGCTGGATGACGAGTCTTGAATATACCAGCTTTAGCTCGTGTGATCATAGGATGAGTGCCCAAAGAAGAGAAATCAACAGGAGGTTCAATAGAGGTCGAATAGAAGTCGAGGGTGGCAAAGTGGAACCTGCAAGAGAAGTATCAACCTGCACAGACTCATCTACAAGGTCAGAACAAATATCACACGGGGATGAACTGGATCGAGGAGTTTGCGGTGATGAAGTGGTAGGGGGGGATGAATCAATATGATGAAAATGTGGTTCTAAGAAATTTGAAATAGGAATAGAGGAAAGAGGTTGGGTCTGGGAGCTAGGGATAGCAGGAAAATGGGTTTCATCAAATTGAGCATGACAGGTGATATATAGCTTAGTGGTGGTCGGATCAAGACAGCGAAACCCTTTATGAGCAGGACTATAACCCAAAAAAATACAAGGAATGCTGTGGGGAGAAAGCTTGTTAGGCATATAATCACGCAAATAAGGATAAACACGACAACCAAAGGGATGAAAATTGTCATAATGTGGAGTGTAGCCATAAAGGAGTTCAAAGGGTGACTTACCTCCAAGAAGTGGAGTAGGCAACCGGTTGATAATATAAGCTGCAGTGCTGAAGGCGTCAACCCAAAAACGAGAAGAAAGATGAGAGTGAAAGAGAAGGGCCAAGCCAGTCTCAGTCACATGACGATGTTTTCTCTCAGCACGACCATTTTGAGCAGGTGTATATGGACAAGAGAGTTGATGGTGGATGCCAGAATTACGTAAATGAGTTTTGAAACAAGTACTAGTAAATTCGGTACCACCATCACTTTGAAATACCTTGATACGAGAAGAATATTGATTTTCCACAAATTTTTGAAATTGAAGAAAAATATCAAAAAAATCAGATTTAAATTTTAAAGGGTAAAACCAAGTGAATCGAGAATAATCATCAATAAAAATAACATAATAAAGGAAACCCAAATTTGATTTGACGGGAGAAGGACCCCAAAGATCACAATGAATAAGATCTAACACATGAGACGACCTACGTTCATTGCGGGAATAAGGCAATCGATGGCTTTTCGCAAGCTGACAGGTATTACATAATGAT